GTGCTTTCAAGTCTGAAATTCCTTCTCCTGCCCTGTCAAGCTAATTACTTCAGTTTGGTTTGTTTGGATTTTTAATTACAGTTCGTATGTATCTTGTTTTGGACTGAATTTTCTATAGTTAAAGGCTGTTCCTGGGAGAGTTTAACCTGGACATTGGGGGCAAAGTTGGAGATAATAAAAGGACACTTATTGCTTGTGTGACTGTGTTGCCTTTGTGCCACACCCCGGGTCATCACAATGTCTGCCTCGGAGTTATTGGTTGGAGTTGAGGTTTTCTGGAACACTGACACACCCTGCGGGCCAGTTCCGCCCCCTGGCCTTAAATTTGACACTCCTGATTCAGGTGGTCTGATGTTTCAATTTAATGCACATGTCCATAGGTATGGTTACCTATGGGTACAATACACAAGAAATAAAAGAATTGCTTTCTTTTAAAGACAAATCTTTAGTACCTCTCTTATTTTCCAGGGGACGGTTAGGTTATTTTTTTTTCTCTAAATATTGTGAAGGAGCTAAAATAGAAACTTACGAATGATTGTAGGCACCACCAATGTCACAATCGCACAGAGAGCATCCATAAACATGACTTCCAAGACCCCAGTATCCTTCCTACAATGGAAAATAAATGAAATGGAGTCATTACCCCAGTGTGTGAATTCAATTAAAAGTACACAGGTGGTCCTCAACTTACGACCACAATTGAGTCCAACATTTCTGTTGCTAAGTGAGACATTTGTTCAGTGAGTTTTGCCCCGTTTTATGACCTTTCTTGCCACAATGGTTAAGTGAGCTCTGTCTCATTTTACGGCCTTTCTTGTCCCAGATGTTTAGTTTAGTTTACTTTATGGTCATTGCACATCCTACAATAAAATTAAATGCCATCTTCAGTGTACTATTCAGTAGAATTCAATAGAGCTACTGCCCTGGGATACAAACTGTTTTTCAGCCTGTTTGTCTGTTTTATTATTCTGTACTGGCTGCCAGATGGTAATAGTTCAAAAACAAGGGTTCCCAGGATGAGATGGATCTTTGAGAATGTTTTGAACTTTCTTAAGGCAGCAGGAGCTATAAAGCTCTTCCAAAGAGGGGAGAAGGCAACCCATGATCCTCTGGGCAATGATGTTAACCCTCTGGAGTGCTGTCCTATCTGCCCCTGTGCAATTGGCAAACCATACGGAGGTGCAGTAAGTTAAGATACTCTCTATGGTGCAGCGGTAGAAGGTCACCAGCAGTTTTTCATCCAGTTGTTGTTTTCTGAGAAGTCTCAGGTAGCATAATCTCTGCGGGGCCTTTTTGAGCAGTGTTGCAATGTGGGCACCCCAGGTCAGGTCCTATTTTAGGATAACATCCAGAAACTTAAAACTGGCCACTTGCTCCGCTCAGTCTCCCTTGATAAGCAAGGGCTGGATGTCTGATCTGTTCCTTCTGTAATCCACTATAAGCTCCTTGGTCTTATTGGGGTCGAGGACCAAGTTATTGTCTCTCCACCACGAAAGCAACCGGTCCACCTCATCTCAGTAGGCAGACTCATCCCTCCCCAGGAGATGAGTCCCACTACTGTTGTATCATCTGCAAATTTAGTAACAGTATTACTAGCATGAGTGGGAATGCAGTTAGGTGGATCACTGCAGATGTTAAGTTAATAATCTAGTTGTTAAGTGAATCGGGCTTCCCCATGGACTTTACTTATCAGAAGTTCCTAAAAGGGGATCACACAACCCCCAGGACACTTCAACCGTTATAAATATAAGGCAGTTGCCAAGCGGCTGAATTTTGATCACATGACACGGGGATGCTGCAATGGTTATGAGTGTGAAAAACAGTCATAAGTACTTTTTTTTTAGTGCCGTTGTAACTTTGAACAGTCACTAAATAAACTGCTGTAAGTTGAGGACTACCTGACCCTGATATTTGGATTAAAAGAAAGAGCAAACAGAGGGAACAACACCAGGTGTCATGCATCTGTTGGAGACTAACTCCAAGGGAGAGGAAGAATAGCTGATAGGGAGTGGAGGTGTGGCTCCGGAGGTTGTGGAGGAGGCTGGGGAAGGGCAGAGGCCGGCTGGGCAGTCAGAGGAAGACCCAGGCCCATCCCCTCTCCATCCTGGGGCACACAGGGAGGAGAGAATAAGGGAGAGACGGGAATGGCGTGGTCTACAGGGAGGAAAGGGCCTTGATCCTCTTCATGGGCTGCAGCTGTGACAACTGGTTAAAAGGAAGGACATGCGTATGGGCCAGTGCTGGAAACAAAGCGTGGAAATATCTCTAGTCTGTCGTTCCTCTCTGAGCTTGGCGTCCTTCCCAGTGTGTGTTCCGATATCTGTGGATGTCTTCAAGCCCTTATCTTGCCTGGTTCCCTTAATTGCTTCGTTGTGGTTTGTGTTGTTTTTACTCTTATAATTTATAGGCATTTTTAGTTTAAACGGCATTTCCTCCTTTTCGTAACTGCTCGTGGGGGAGTTTTTTGTCTCCAGTTAAGGATATTTGGAGCTTTGAAGCAAAGTGAAGGAATAAAAGGGGCTTCACCTGTTTTTGTGACTGTGTTTATTTTGTATCACACCAAGGAAAGTCCTAAGCAAGATACTCTAGTTGAAAAACTTCTCAATACATACAAGACAGTGTTCACAACGTTGTCCAGTGACAAATTCCTGGCACACACACTTTCCTGATTCTGGGTTGCAAAGAGAGAAAGGCAAACTTCCCTTTGGGTCACACCTGCAAGCTGAAAAGACAGAATTCCAGATCATCATTTGGGTGAGAAATGGATGGCAGCACAAACGCCCTGATGGCAGTGGTGGATTTCCAAATTGTTTCCAACCGGTTCTATTCACGATTCTCTGCCGCGCGAATCAGCTGAGGTAATAAACAAGGGAATATAGGAGAGGAAAGGCAGGGGTGGGTGGGAGGAGCTAACCAGTTCTCCGAACTTGTTCTGACCAAGGCTTCCTGAGACCGTAATTAAGCACACGCTTAGTCCAAACAACGTCTGTTTTATTTCACCATTGGGAATTATGTTCATTCCCAGCCCTTAATGAGTCTCAAATAGTGTCTCGAGATAAGCACCCATCTTTATCTCCTTTGAATTGCTGCCAAAAACTAAAATGCCAAATTAACTGGAAAAAAAACCCAACCAAAGTACAAAGTCCACACAGAGCTTCAAGGTTTAATCCTAACAGAGCGAATGACTTTGCTTCCTGCAAAGGTTTTTCTACCTTTGCACTTCCTTTATACCTTAGGGGAGGGGCAATCACCTCCAAGCCTTACTCCTGAGTCGCCCCTTTTGTCTTAGCTGCTCTTGCCTTCTGGCAGCTCTGCGCACACGCGCACTGGGAACAGGCTCCCCTTGTTCCTCTGCTTTGCTGCTGCCAGACTCTGGAAGCTCGGAAGGCAGCACCCCACTCCCAGATGGTCCTGGCCCCATCTCTGTATTGGACACAGGACCCTCATCTGAGTCCTCCCCAGACTCCCGGACTGGACCCTGTTCTTCCCCACTGTCCAATTTTGCTTCCGTCCGCACAGGCTGCTGACAAACATAGGATAGGACCTGATGGTAAAGACTGCAACGACGACACCATTAAAGCCAACATCTTTAACACATTCTTCGGCTCAGTATTTGTAAACAGCAATGGATCATGCCCAGTATTTCCTAGCCGTACCACAGATAACAACAATGATCTAATACATATCGATTTCACAGAAGACAATGTTGAAAAAGCACTACGCAATCTAAAACCATCTCTATCTATTGGACCGGATGGAATATGTGCCTACTTCTTAAAAAAGCTATCCACTGCCATAGCCAAACCTCTAAGCATAATCTTTGAAAAATCTTTCAGGACCAACTCCTTGCCTAACCTATGGTCACAAGCCACAGTCATCCCCATCTTCAAAAAGGGAGACCCAAGCCTAGTTGAAAATTACAGGCCAATCTCCTTATGCTGCGTCACCTGTAAAGTCATGGAATCAATTATTAACCAATCCATCATCCTCCACTTAGAGACAAATAACCTACTCTCCAATAAACAATTTGGTTTCAGAAAAAAACTATCCTGTAATCTGCAACTCTTACACTGCAAAAACATATGGACGACACAACTCGACCAGGGCAAAAGCAATAGACGCAATCTACATAGACTTCTGTAAAGCCTTTTTTTTAAAAAAAAAAAACAAGTTTTATTAGTTTTCAAAACACACAAGTCATTATTATCCATTACATGTTTAAACCTTTTTCCATTATAAATTTAACAAGTCAGATAAACTATAATTCTGTTTTAAACCATTTCCATATAAACATACCAAAAACCTCTTATCCAATTTCCCTTTATTTCTCTTTACTCTTATTCAATTTTATTATTATTATTTCATCTACTTCTTTCTGACTTAGTTACCATTATTCTCATTCTATATTTCTACAAGGTTTTATTAATTTTCCCCCAAAAAAACCAACATACAAAACATAAAAAAGATCTTTTTGGAAAGTAACTTGGACCCAGGTATCTCTCTTTTCATGGACTTCAATTATATTCAGGCTCATCTTACATATCATTACTTATTTTATTTACCATTCTAAGTCTTCTATATTAACTTCTCCGCATATTTCACTCTTCTTGATTCTATCTTAATTAATCATCTTAATTTGAGTCATTATATTTATATCTTTTGTCCATTCTCTATTATACCTTTGTCTCATTCCTTTTAAAAAGAAAGAAATTTCTCCTGAAATCACTAATCAGAGTATGATGCCTTTCTATCTCCCCACTAAATTAATCAAATTAATCTTTAAAATACCCAATCCGATTTTGCTTGGTACATTCTAACTGAATAATACATCTAAAACAATTAAATACATAGTTAAGCAATAGATTTAAATATTAAAAACAAAATACTATAATGAAAGTTTTATAATAACATCAATACCATAATCTTAATAAACTCTTTAATTAAAGTTTAATATTCTAAATCTCCCCTCATATTATATTTTCAAACCAATCATTATTAACATTCCAACATTTTAATCTCTTATCAACTCTCAAGCCATTTAAAATTTCTATTTCTGATACAATACTACAATATCATCTTATGTACCTTGCAAAATCTCTTTGAAGAAAATACTTATCCTTTATCCCTAAAAAAAATTTCTTTTTTCTCATTTAATTTCAAAACTTTATAACTTTTCTCCACCTTTTCCCTTTCTTTCTTCCCCCAACAAACCTTTCTAGCCCCCCTTCTTCTAGCCTCTGCCTTACTGGCTTCCCTTCTCTGTCGCATTCCTCTTCCCTTTTGTTTACCATCCTTATATTGATTTTGCACCTTGTTTTTCCCTTTCTTAAATGTTTTTTTAAATCTTAAGTCCTTTATTTCTCTTCTTTTTCCTCTTCCTTCCCTCTTGGTCGAGTTCTGAGATTTATTAAAGATGGCTTCCTTTCTTTGTTCTTCTTCTGCTGTCTTCATCTGTTGCAATGTTTGTTGATAATTAATAAGCGCCATTTCTAAAAAAAGGAAGGCTTCTTTCAAACCAGCTTTACCATTTTGTTTTGCTTGCTCATAGTCTTTTCTCAGTTCCTCGATAGAAGAAGCCATTATAAATCTTTTCTTTTCTTTTCTCTTACAACAGCCAGAATATTCCAAAGGAAAAATAAGACAATCCCAAAGTTCTCAGTCAGTCCAAACCAAGACAGAGTTCCCACTCTCTCCTCCTGGGGTAGTATCAATTAAAGAAAAGGAAAGTCCAAATCTGTTTCTTAAAGTCTTATTGCAATATATTTTAGTCTTTCAATCCTTAAGGCATCTCCTCCAACAAGGTCTTAGCATACAAATATTTTTTTTTAAGTCCTCTCTTTTCCCACTCACCGCTTAGAGCCAGTTTTCACCTAAAAAAAATAGGTTTCTTAATGTTCACTTTTTATTCCGTAAAAAAAGAGGGTAAGCTATCCTTTCAGCATCATTAAACTGCCGCTTTTTTCCTCTTCTCGAAGGTATCATTCAGAAAGTCATACTTTTCAGGAATTTTGTTAAATATGTCTTAGAGTCCTAGGAACCAAGAAAGACTTTCTCCTCTCAAGCACTTTCTCCACTTCCTCCTGCGCATTCTTACCCGGCTGCCAGCTTCTTTGTGGCGGCCATTACGGACCGCCGCTGCACCGTCCTGGGAAAAGGGGGTTCTGCCGGCCGGGGAGGGGGTCTGCAACACCCCCAAACCCTTCTCCGGATCCCCCCTACCTTCAGCTGCCCCTGCAGGGCAGCCTAGCTCCGTACCCGTCTGGGTCGGAGCTCCAAAAACGGCTAGCGCGGCAGGGATCGCGCAGCTTCGCAAATCCCTGCCGCTCGCGAAGCCGACAAACCGGAAACAACCAGACTTCTGTAAAGCCTTTGATTCAGTGGTACACGACAAACTACTCCTAAAAATAAAATCCTATGGTATCTCTGGACAATTGAATAACTGGATAGAAGCATTCCTGTCAAACAGACAACAAATGGTCAAAATTGGGAGCGTCCTATCAAATTCAGTACCTGTCAATAGTGGTGTCCCCCAAGGCAGTGTTCTAGGACCAACTCTCTTCATACTCTACATAAATGACCTCTGTGATCATATTAAGAGCAATTGCGTTCTCTTCGCTGATGATGTAAAGCTGTTCAATACCACAGACAATACTGCTACCCTACAAAAAGATCTTGACTATGTATCAGAATGGTCAAACAAATGGCAACTTCAAATCTCAACAAATAAATGCTCTGTCTTACATATTGGCAAAAAAAATCAGAAAATAAAATACAAGCTGAATAGTCAAGATCTTGTTGATGACCCAAGCTCTGTAAAGGACCTTGGAATACTCACCTCTAATGATCTAAGTGCTAGAGCCCACTGCAACTACATAGCCAAAAAGGCATTAAGAGTTGTTAACCTAATCCTACGTAGCTTTTTCTCTGGTAATATCACACTACTAAGTAGAGCATACAAAACATTTGCTAGACCAATACTCGAATACAGTTCATCAGTCTGGAACCCACATTACGTATCTGATATTAGCACAATTGAGAAAGTCCAGAAATATTTCACAAGAAGAGTTCTCCACTCCTCTACTCATTGTAGAATACCTTATGCCACCAGACTTGAAATTCTAGAACTAGAAAACCTTGAATTACGCCGTCTTCGGTCTGATTTAAGCATGGTATATAAAATCATACATTGCAATGTCCTACCTTTCAATGAATACTTCAGCTTCAACCATAACAACACAAGAGCACACAATAGATACAAACTCAAAGTTAACCGCACCAAACTTGATTGCAGGAAATACGACTTCAGCAATAGAGTGGTCAATGTCTGGAATACTCTACCCGACTCTGTAGTTTCTTCCCCAAACCCCAAAAACTTTAACCTTAGACTGTCTACTATTGACCTCACCCCTTTCCTAAGAGGTCTGTAGGGGGCGTGCATAAGCGCACCAACGTGCCTACCGTCCCTGTCCTATTGTTTCTCTTATTCTTCTCTTATTTTTCTTATATGTACCCATTTCATGTATTCACAACTATGTATACACTTATACTTATTATCTTGTAAACAATTGGCAAATCAAATAAATAAATAAATAAAATAAAATAAATAAACCACAACAGATCTAATCAAAATTTCTGCTACTGATCAGAACCAATCTGAACTGGCTGAATACCACCTCTACCTGATGGGTTAGTCAAAACCATGTAGCAATACCAGTGAAATTGTAGAATTTCAAGGAGGGCAACTGATATGTTGAAATACAACTCATGCTTCTGTTTTTTTTTCCACCCTGACTTAAGTCTACAAGAACTGAACCACAAGAAAATAAAAGAAAAATGCGTACGCTGACAGCCAAGTGGATCGCTTCCATTGATTCCATAGTAGTGCGGCTTGCACTTGTCGCAACGGACGCCTTCAACGTTGGCTTTGCAATGACACTGGCCAGCAATGCTTCCAAGGACAGGATCCGAATGATCCTGGCACAGCCCATTTTGCAGAGTGCCTTCTGGATCGCAGTCACAAGCTAGGGGCAGACAAGACAAAAACTGATATACTACCGTGTTTCCTCGAAAATAAGACCGGATCTTATATTAATTTTTGTTCCAAAAGATGCATTAGGGCTTATTTTCCAGTTAGGTCTTATTTTTGGGGAAATACAGTACTAAATGTGTCCATCTGCCTGTCAATCTTAACTGGGGCTTATTTTTAGGTTAAGACTTATATTACGAGTATCCTGAAAAATCATTCTAGGGCTTATTTTCCAGTTGGGTCTTATTTTCAGGGAAACAGGGTAGGTATAAGGGAGCAATGTAACGTTTGGAAACATCCAGTGGTGGGATTCAAATTGGTTTACCACCACTTTGGTGGGTCTGCTTGGTGGGTGTGCTTTGCACATGCGCACGGCAAATGCATGCTTTGCGCGTGCACGGAGGCTTTCCGACTGCCCTTCTCCTGCACTCCTGCACTCTCCCTGTCTCTTCAACAGCTGACATGCAGCAATGCAGCTGAGCATTAAAATCAGGAAATAAAGGTCAGTATGGAGCCGAGATGGGTGGGTGGGTTCAGCATTTGATCTTCGGAGCGAATCGGTTCGCTCCCAGATGATCTTCGGAGCTATCAGTTCGGCTGAACCAGGCTGAACCAGTAGAATCTCACTCTTCAAAACATCACCCAAATTAATACAAGTCGCGTCAAATATAGCAAGTCCTAGGAATTGTCTGAATTCAACCCTCTGGATCAGGGGTGTCAAACTCAATTTCATAGAGGACAGTATCAGAGTTGTGTTTGATCTCGGGGGGGGGGGGGGCAGATGGACATGGGCGGGATGGGCATGGCCAGCTTGACATCATTCATGTCAGGGGGCACCTGTGGTCGCCTGGGCAGGGCTAGGGGATCCTCCTGCAGCCCTCTGCCAGTCAAAACAGAGCCCAGGAGGGCTGGCCACTACCAGTCCTTTGCTATTTCCTGGGCAGCCCTGTGGACCATATCTAAGCACCCTGGGCCTTGAGTTTGACACCCCTGCTCTGGATCATCTCACAAGCACTTCACACTTACGGATACATGCATGAGGATCCACCATGGCCTTCTGGGGATCCTGATAAAAGAACGGCTTGCACCGTTCACAATGTTGCCCCGTTGTGTTGTGCTGACAGTCTTCGCAAACTCCGCCACTGGTACGGTTGTTAGCAAGGTACACGGCCATATCAAAATGGCAGCTCTCTGAATGACTGTTGCATTCACATTCTGAAAGAGAAAGCAAACATAATGGGGCCCTTGCATATCAATAAGAACCAGATACCTCGCTAAATAGTAGTAACAATTTCTGTCTGCCTGTAGGAGATGACCAGGCTGAAGAGTCAAACCCATCATCAGTCACGAGTCCCTGCGCACCCACAAGAGATCTAACTCCAGCCCACCCTGAATTCCTTTCGATTCTTATCTCCCGCTCATTTCCTTTGCCTGTTAGTTGGCCAGATTCTTGTAGAGGACTCAAGCTTGCAATAAATCTTTATACTGATTTGAACTGCCTGAAACTCCTGATTTTCCCAGCACTTGACACCGCCACACCAATGGAGATTCAGCAGGGTGATGGGTGGTTATATTATCCATAAATCTGAAAAAAATTAAGCCAATCACTGGAATACTTCGGCAAGCATTTTCCTGGGATCCTTCAGCCGGCCTCCAAGGGATGTCATTGTAGAAATCTTTGCATCGTTCACAGGACAAACCGTCTGTGTTGTGTTCACAAAGGCAGTTCCCGTGGACCTGAAACACGTCAATGAAAATTATGGAAGTGCATGTTGGCATCATGGCTTTGCATTTTCTGATGTGGCCTGCTGAAAATGAACTTAGGACAAGGGGTGAACAAACAGCATGTCCACAATAAAATGGGTACATTCATGTGCGTACGCCATTACCCATCATTATGAAACTCTGCTGTGGTGGCACAGTGGTTAGAACGCAGTATTGCAGGCTAATTCTGCTGACTGCCAACTGCGGCAATTTAGCAGTTCAATTCTCATCAGTTCAAGGTTGACTCAGCCTTTCATCCATCTAAGGTCAGTAAAATGAGGACCCAGATTGTTGGGGACAATACGCTGACTCTGTAAACTGCTTAGAAAAGGCTGTGAAGCACTATGAAGTGGTATAAAAGTCTAACTGCTATTCTGTTCTCTCTCCGTGTGTGTGTCTTTGTCTGTCTGTCTGTCTGTCTATCTGTCTATTTATCTCAGGTTGACTCAGCCTTCCATCCTTCCGAGGTCAGTAAAATGAGCCAGATTGTTGGGGGCAATAGGCTGACTCTGTAAACCATTTAGAGAGGGCTGTAAAGCACTGTGAAGCGGTATATAAGTCTAAGTGCTATCGCTAGTGTTGCCATCTTAAGAGGCATCATCTCAGAGCATCCATCTTGCAGAACATTTGGACACAAGAATGACAGTTAAAATGTATTGTGATAACCTTATTGGTACTCCAATATCTATTTCTGAATTGCACTTAGGAATATTGGTGGGATGGGAAGAATCAGGATCACACCTTAAATTCCAGCTAAGCTGATTTAAAGGGACGCGGTGGCTCAGCAGCTAAGATGCTGAGCTTGTCAATCAGAAAGATCGGCAGTTCGAATCCCTAGCACCGCGTAATGGAGTGAGCTCCCGTTACTTGTCCCAGCTTCTGCCAACCTAGCAGTTCGAAAGCATGTAAAAAATGCAAGTAGAAAAATAGGGACTCTTTTGGTGGGAAGGAAACAGGGTTCCATGCGCCTTCGAAGGTGTTTAGTCATGCCGGCCACATGACCACGGAGACGTCTTTGGACAGCACTGGCTCTTTGGCTTTGTAACGGAGATGAGCACCGCCCCCTAAAGTCGGGAACATCTAGCACGTATGTGCAGGGGAACCTTTACCTTTACCATAAGCTGATTTATTGTTCATGCCTATACACAAGAATAATCATTACATTGGTGCTAGATAAGAACAGAATTCAAGAGGGGTTGGATTTGGATCGTTTGTGGCAAAGTAACAATTCTAGGCTAAATCCTCTCTTGACTCCACTTCCCGTGATCTCTCCTATAGTATTACTGCAACATTTCAAGACAACTGAAGTTTGTGCTCAAATGGAATCTTTTGGAAAGACAACTCTTTTGACTCACCATCCCAGGCTCGTGGAAGACGTCCCCTCGCAGATTTTCCCCAGGGCCACAGTGGCTGGTGTGGCCGTTGCACATGCAACTCCCGTGAACAACCATTTCATAAAGCGCATAGTAGTATTTTCTCAGAAGACTCTGTTTCTTTTCTCCAAGTAAAGTATCTCCCAGCATGTGAAGCTTTGTGAAGTTGATTCTCAGATTTGTAAAAGCAACCAGCTCTGCGATGAAAATTTGGGGAAATGTGTAAAGTAGTTTAGCTCAAAATAATATCCATAATGGATATAATCCATATTATATCCACATATTTTTATAACAATGTCTCTAACAGTAGCTGATGAGATAAAAAGACGTCATCCCTGACCTGTCGAGCTCTTAACTCTTTTAGTTCAGTTTTTGTATAGTTCTTAATAATATTTTAACTTTGTGTTGTTTAATAATTTGTTTTATAACCTGTAAACCACCCAGAGTTATCTTGTAACCTTGGAGTTAATCTGTGCTGATCTGAGGGCTGTTGGAGAGTTGTTGGAGTCTTCTGGGGGCTGGTTGATTGTGTCTTTTGCATAGTCTATAGTAAAGGTGAAGGTTCCCCTCGCGCATATGTGCTAGTCGTTTCTGGCTCTAGGGGGCCGGGGCTCATCTCTGTTAAAAAGCCAAAAAACCAGCACTGTCCAAAGACATCTCCATGGTCATGTGGCCGGCATGACTAAACGCCTTCGAAGGTGCATGGAACGCTGGTCTCTTCCCACCAAAGTGGTCCCTATTTTTTCTACTTGCATTTTTTACTGCTTTCGGACTGCTACGTTGGCAGAAGCTGGGACAAGTAACAGGAGCTCAATCCCTTACACAGCGCTAGGGGTTCGAACCGCTGAACTGCCGACCTTTCTGATCAACAAGCCACTGAGCCACCATGTCCCTCTATAGATGTTGTTAATATGTATGTGTCTAGACCAAGAGAAAAAGACTCTAGAAATTCTCTGGCATTTAACTCCAAGGTTAATTCCAGACCAACAATCGAGTAAGCATTGTACCCCAATGAAGAAACTGCTAAAGATCCATCAGTAAACAGCCCAACCAAAGAATCGCTAAGACTGCCCCCATCCACACAGATAGGCAAGCCACTACAATATGAACTGACAGCAAACAGCACTCCTTACTAGCACTGATGATGTTACCTAGATTGGTCATGAAACCTCTGCAAGAAAATCACCAAACTCAGATCACACCAAAGACCCCATAGTTGTCTTCACCCTCCTCCTGCTCCTCCTCCTGCTGCTGCTGCTCCTCCTGCTGCTCCTCTTCCTCCTCCTGCTCTTCCTCCTCCTGCTCCTTCTCCTGCTCCTCTTCCTCCTCCTCTACACAAAGCCCACCCCCTTCTAGCACTGATGATGTTACCTAGTTTGGTCATGAAACGTCAGCAAGAGAACAAGCAAGTTCAGAGTGCACCAAGGGCCCCTCACTTTATTAACAGTTGTGTTCTACCCCTGAGTTATCAAAAGAATCAAAGCAAAGAAGAATTGGTAAAGGACCGTTCAAATCCCAACTATTCCTACCTTGGATGTACGGACCATAAGAATTTTCTATTTCAAATCTGGGATCCAGAACTTTGAAAATAACCTGTCAAAATCCCAAAAAAATATTTATAAGGATAAGTGCAGGGAAGGAAAACATTCACTCCTTGCCAATACGACAATAATTTCTCTTGTTCAGTGAGACATTTGTTAAGTGAGTTTTGCCCCCATCTTATGACATTTCTTGCCACGGTCATTAAGTGAATCTCCTGCAGTTGATAAGTTAGTAACCCGGCTGTTAAGTGAACCTGGCTTCCCCATTGACTTTGCTTGTCAGAAGGTTGCAAAAGGGGATCAACCGTCATAAATAGGAGTCAGTTGCCAAGCACCTGAATTTTAATCACATGAGTGCAGTGGCCATAATTATGAAAAAACGGTCATAAATCTCTTTTTCCAGTGCCGTTGTAAATTTGAACAGTCACTAAGAAAACTATTGTAAGTCGAGGGCTACCTCTACTTTAACTACAGAATGAACCATAAAAACTCTCTGGCAGCTTTCTGACTTCAAGGCAATTTGAACACTATTGTACATCATTGTATATGTGGAAATTATATATTGTGAGTTACTCCTGAGAAAATGAAGTACAGAAGAGATTCCATGTTTATCCGAAATATGGCCTATGAAATGATTATTGGACAGTGATATAACTGTATTTAACAAACATATTATGTTTTGTAACATGTTATGTTTTGAAAGTAAAATGTCATGTTCTTGGCTGGGGTGAGGGTTTGTAATCTTGGCTTAAAGATTAATGTCAGAGATTTTAAGTCATTCTGACCCAACAGAAACCTGTTAATGATCCATTGTGCTTCGATGGACATAACAGGAAGAAGCCATGAGAATGAGGATAGTTTCCAAAGACAAGGAAACAAGGTGCTATGGGTGTGGCATAGGAAGATACGTAGCTTGGATAGATTGTGAACCCAGGAAAGGGGCAGAAACTGCATATTTCAACCTGTATATAAACCCCAGCCCTCCTGGGAACCATGTCTTCTGCCATGAGCAGAATTCCCTTTTGCAAAAGCTTAATAATAAAGCTCTTGTTCACAGTCTCTGGTTGTTTTTGTGATTATTATCACAATCATGGACATTTGTAATTGTACCGAGAATCCAAATCATTCAAGTGAAATCAGATACATACTTCCCCTTCGGTCGATGGTTCGATATCTGAATATTTGGAGTCACACACGAGGTCTCCAACCTCTTTGGGTGGCCTTGAAGGAATGTCCGGAAAAGAAGCAGTACAGTTTTGTGCGAAATATCGATAGGCCTTCCAGGTTTGACCGTAATCTGCAGAACGCTCCACCAACATGGCGGCGGGACGAAAAGTCTATAAGAGAAATACACACCTTCAGATTGGTATGACTTTATGCTATGAACACTTAAGCATCTAAGACCATGGGTGGGCTTCAAAAAATTTAGCAATGGGTTCTCTGCCTGGTTGCTGGCTGGGCATGGCCATGGTGGGTGTGGCCTAGTCGGCCTCCTGCACCATGGTGGTGGGGGCTGTTTTGGCCCTCCCCAGGCTCCGGAGGCTTTCCTTGAGCTTCCGAAAGGCAAAAATGGCCTCTCCAGATTCCAGAGGCTCTCTGGAACCCAGAAACAGGCCCATTTACAGCCTTCCTGAACTTTTGGGAGGCCCATTTTTTTGCCCTCTCCTACCTGCATCCCATGGATGTGGCTTTGCTTGTTTGCGCGGTCTGCTTGCTGGCATGCTGCGACCTGTTGTGGCCTGCCAGCGGCCAGCAGAGCTGGCGGCAGATTCGGACAGTGAGGAAGTTGGGGATGAATCCTGCATTCTGAGGAATGTTCTGACAAGGGTTCTGCGTTGGAGGCAGAGATGGAGCCAGGGCTGTCCGATAATTATCAGCTGCCTTTGGAGTCAGAGTTCAGTGGGGCAGAAGAAGAGCTGGAGCCTGCTCCCAGTGTACACATGCGCAGAGCTGCCAGAAGAAGGGAACAGCTAAGGAACAGGGTTTGACTCGGAAGTAAAGCCACAGATGGATGGTGAATGGCATAGGGAATAAACAGGAGCGAAAGAGGAGTGGTGTCTTGCAGGAGACAATTAGTTCATTTAGTTCAGGAATCTCTTCCTGATTCCTTGCCAAGTATTATCTGCTACAGACAATAGCGTTTGGAAGATATCGGCTTAGCAACTCTCCAAGCCTGATAAAGGTCTGTAGTTGTGAAATCTCTTGAAAGACTGTTGGCTGGGACTTTGCTGGAGAGGAATTCCCTCTAACTTAAATAAAAGGGGTTTTATCGGGACAAGGAGTTGGCTTCGTGCTTTTGGGACGCCTAGGTCAGAACAGGACTGGGTGTTGGGGACTCCATGACTTAAGCCATCAGTAGAATGCAAGCAATCTGTGCATTCCTGCTCAAACACATACTGCAAATCTCTCCTGTTTTACCTGTGGCTACAGACAAGCCTTAACCAGATTTAAATCAGATTTAAAAGCTGAGGAGACGATACGCCTCATTGAATTGCTGCTATAAACATTAGCTGAAGCATGAACAGTTTATGCAGATCCGTTGCAGATCTTGGCATCGGGAAGTCAGGCTAAAGTTGAAATCCTAAATAGGCTGAATTTAGGAAGTCTTAAATATGAAAAAAATGCTGAAAGGGGTAAATCCCCCCCTTTTTTTGCTAAGCATTAAAAAAAGCGTATATCTTTTTTTTTCTTTTGCAAAAGGTAAATTGCCTTCCAGGTGATCGTGGATCCTAGTCAACAGCAGCTAAGTAATTCTGAGATGCACAATGTTGATTCTAAACAAGATAAAAGCAGGCATTGCCTGAACAATGTTTGGAATACTCTACCTGACTCTGTGGTTTCTTCCCCAAACCCCAAAAACTTTAACCTTAGACTGTCTACTATTGACCTCACCCCTTTCCTAAAAGGTCTGTAGGGGGCATGCATTAGCGCACCAACGTGCCTACCGTCCCTGTCCTATTGTTTCTTTTTATTTTTCTTATATGTATCCATTTCATGTATTCATAACTATGTTTATACTTATGCCTATTATCTTGTAAGCAATTGACAAATCAAATAAATAAATAAAAATAAATAAATAAAATACTCTAAATAATTACCAGGAGATTAAATAATGTAATAGTGTATTTTTGGTACCTTGAAAATCAGAATAAGATGACTGAACTGAAACATGTTTTCCAAGTCCAGCTGAATACTGACATGGTCAACACCTGCAAATTAATAAGCCAGATGCAGGTCATAGGAAAATGAACAAAAAATAAGAAAATATTTATTGTCTTTCTGATGAATCAATTGCATTTAGGGTTTCTCCTATAGAAACCACTTCAAGGATATGTTTTGTTTTCAAAAGAAAATGGCCAGAGGATTGACATTTTGTGGTACCTCTGAGGTTCATTTTCTGGGGACACGGTTAACTAACTCAATTTGATGGCTTATGTTTCCAACTCTCAAACAATTTTGATAATTATCTTGATTATTATCAGAATGATCACAATTATTTTACAAGGAATGCCCCCCCCACATACACACACAATGTGCAAGCCTTACAAAGCACAAATTCTTATTCTATCTGATTCCATTCATTTTAGATCATAATGAATGGATGTATTAGTGGTATAAAAATTGCAAACATTCAAATGTATAATTTATTGATCCTGTTTTTTTTTCCTTCTTGCATTTCTCTAACTTAATTAATGGGCTAGTATCATTTTAGCATCTTAAAATATTTAAATCTTTAGCATCCAGGTATTTCACATCTGAAATACTGCATCCAGTTTTGGTCACCACATTATTAAAAAAGATGTTGAGTCTCTGGAAAGAGTGCAGAGAAGAGCAACCAAGATGATTAAGAGCTTGGAGACTAAAACATATAAAGAACGATTGTTGGAATTGGGTATGGCCAGTCTAGAGAGAAGAAGGACTGGGGGGCATGATAGATTTGCTCCAGAATCTGAGGGGCTCACAGAAAGAAGAGGTGGATCAACCTATTATCCAAAGCACCTGAAGGAAGGACAAGAAACAATGGATAGAAACCTAAACAAGGAGAGAACTAACCTAGAATTAAGGAGAAACTTCCTAACAGTGAGAATAATTAATCAGTGGAGCAGCTTGCCTTCAGAAGTTGTGGATGTTCCATCACTGGAGGCTTTTAAGAAAAGACTGGATAACCACTTCTCTGGAATGGTATAGACTCTCCTGTTTGAACAGAGGGGTTGGAATGGAAGAACTCCAAGGCCCCTTCCAACTCTATTATTCTGTTAAATAGAAGATATTCAATGATGCTGCAAATAATTGAAATCTCCTATCGTTCCAAATGTGACAGCTGTTGCAGGAAATGGCTGTCCCTCTGCTTGATGTTAGGCACCGAGCCATCAATTGGTTTCGTTGGTTAATTTTAGAACCTGATTTTGCTACCAACAAGTATTAACCTTTCTGGCCAAATACCATCCAGAGACAGGGATTTGCCACTTTGCTCGTGAAATGGTCAGATGGAAGTTGGACAAATAAACAGCAGAAGCAAATTGGCTAAAAGTAATAAAACCGGCCGAAGCCAACTCACCGTTTTCAGATTGCCACCATTTCTTCCGATCGCGTTCCAAACGGGTGACCACATTTTCAATGGAGTGGCTGTTGGTTTGGAAAAGTGGGTGGTAGGGGTGCCTGGAATCGCAGGTGAAGCATTTCTTCGTATCCTAAGAAAGGGCAGACACAAATCTTCTCTTTGATCTTATTTGGGGGGTTCAGTGGTGATGATTTCCTAGTAGATCAATGCAGCGATGGGATTCAAACAAAATTACTACCAGTTCTGTGGGCGTGGCTTGGTGGGCATGGCAGGGAAAGATACTGTAAAATCTCCATTCCCTCCCCGCTTCTGAGGGAAGGTTACTGTAAAATTCCCATTTCCTCCCCACCCAACTAACCTGCTTTCCAGCTCCATTCTCCTGTGCAGGGCAACCAAAGAAGATCTAGCTGATCAGCTGGGACTCAACGGGAGGCAGAGAATAGATGGGGGCAGGGCTAGTCAGACGTGGTATTTGCCGGTTCTACAAACTAGGGGGTCACCAACCTTTTGGACCTCAGGGACCACCAAACTCATAATTTTAAATCCCATGGACCAGAGACCCTGGGAAAATCCCCAAAAAAGGTCTGCAGGAAAATTCCTCACCCCATTTTCCTACCAATAGATCGTTCTCTTTTTGGGATTGCAGGATACTGTCTCCAGTTCTGTTCTCAGAGGGAGAGACTTTTGGCTTCATGCAAGGAAAGCAGCAGAAGCAGCAGAAGTCTTTCTTTCTCTCCCCCAAACTCCACCAGAAATGAGTCTTTGTGAGACTTGTCGCGCCGGCGCAGCCTTTTGGAGCAGGAGGCCTTGCAGGGTCCCAAAGACTCATTTCTGGTGGAGTTTGGCAGAGAGAAAGAAAGACTTTTGCTGCTTTCCTTGCGTGCAGCCAAAAGCAGCAGAACAAAGAAGCAGAAAGAAGCAGCCCGGTGGCCAGGCGAGGGGCATGGGGCGAGTGGGGCAAGTTCCCCCCTCCGCCCTTTCCCCCCTTCCCTCACTACCTCATGTTGTTCGCAATGCAAGCCTTGTGTTCCCACGGGCCATGTGGGTGGCGCAGCCTTGTGTTCCCATGCAGCCTGGATTAATTGCTTTGGGGGCTGCTTTGGGGGTGACATTTCCCTGCAGACCACCAAAATTTTCTCGTGGATCACCATTGTTCCCCCGGCCCACTGCTTGGTGACCATTGCTCCAAACTACTCAAAATTTCCGCGAATGGTTCTCCAGAACTGGTCAGAACCTGCTGAATACCGCCTCTGGACTAACGGTTTTCAACCCCCCCCTTGCATAAACCACTCTGCAAGCGCCAGAGACCAAGAAGGAAGATGAGCTGACAGAAAAGTTTATTTGTACACGCCCTGTGCTTTTCACACTTCCCTGCTTCATTGCTCTCAGAAGTGAGAAGGGAACAATGGCCTCATTCTCGGGATTTGATGGAGATGAAAGATAATTTCACCTCACAATCCTAAGCCTCCTGTGTCTGATTCTGTCTGTTCTCTTTCCTGAAAAGTCTATCCTCTTTCCAGGAAATCTCACCAAGGAGAGAGAAAGCAGAATTAACTCCATAATATAAAGGCGACATGATTTGGGAATAGCCAACTGAAGCAACTAAGAATTACAGATTAACAGAATTGGGACTTTGTAGATCATCTAGTCAACCCCCTGCCCCAGCCAAACTTAACTGCATTGCGCATGTGTGCACCTCCCAGCTGATTTTTGGCCCGTTTGAGGCCATTTCTGCCCTCCTGGAGGCTTGAGGGAAGCCTCTCCAGCCTCAGGAAGCCAAAAAATGGGCCTTCCGGAAATACCAGAAGTGCCGAAACGGGCCCATTTTCAGCCTCCCGAGGCTGCAGAGGTTTCCCTCGAGTCTTCAGGAGGGCAAAAATGGCCTCCTCTGGGCTCCAGAGGCCCTCTGGAGGCTGAAAATGGGCACTTCCAGCATTTCCGGAATGCCCGTTTTTTGGCCTCCCGAGGCTGCAGAGGCTTTCCTCGAGCCTCCAAAAGGGTGAAAAATGCCTCAAACAGGCTGAAAATCAGCTGGGAGGCACGCACATGCACAGTGCAGAGTGGGGGTGTTGCACACGCATGCGCAGGGGGGCGGGGCACATTGCATTGTGGGTGCTGGCATGTACACTTTCGATACACCACAACAAAAAGGTTCGCCATCACTGGACTAGGAATTTGTCTCTGCTGTAGAAGCTCACAGTGTTCTGATCTCTCTCTTTTCTTCTTCTTATTTTTCTCTCTCTGTCTTTCTGGAAGGATGAAAAGTTGACAGTGATGATAAATGTCTGAATGCAAGACAGAACTAAGAAGCAGCTCTGCCTTCAGGTCAGGCAGAGTTTAAAGAACAGAAATTCTTTTATGGCAAACTCAAAGTATCCCTGAATGATGAATGTAATGTTTTGGCAATTCAGCAAATGGATTCCTTAGGGACAAAGGAGTAGAAAACTGTTTAAGAAGTTCAGGCTTGTGAAATATTTCTTAAAAAATTTCTGATTTATAAATAAAGCTCCGATTTAGAGATTAGCGTTCTTACGATTGACTAATCCTTAGAATTAGGCCTTATGATGGGGTAAGGATTTTATTCAGTGGTGGGATTCAAACAATTTTTACTACCAGTTCTGTGGGCGTGGATAGGTGGGCATGGCCATGTGACTGGGTGGGTGTGGCTTTTTTATTTTGGACCCTTCTACACCCCGTTTTGGGACCTTCCTTGCCTCAGAAGAGCCTTTTTGCTCCCAGATGTTTCTCCTCTCTTCCAAGAAGCTTCTTCAGCTCTCTGAAGAAACTTCTTGGATGAGAAGTGAAATGTCTTCAAAGAAAAACCAGAAAGTCCAGTTGCCTCTTGAAAAAGCACCTTTTGGGACAACCAATGGAACAATTTGTGGGTGCTCCATCACTGGAGGTTTTGAAGAAGAGATTAGACAACCATTTGTTCAGAATAGTATAGTGTCTCCTGCTTGAGCAGAGAGTTGGACTAGAACTGTGATGGCGAACCTATGGCCAAATGCCCAGAGCCATTTGTACCAGCACGCGAGCTGCAGGCAAACTTATCTCACCGAGTATGTGTGTGCCTCACAGCTGATTTTCGGTCGGTTTGAGGTCTTTTTTGGCCTCCCAAAGGCATGAGGAAGGCTTCTGCAGGCTTTGCAGGCCGAAAACTAGCCCCGTTTTGTCACTTCCTGTTTTTCCGAAAATACCGGAAGTGATGAAACGGGGCTAGTTTTTGGCCTGCAAAGCCTGCAGAAGCCTTCCTCAAGCCTTTGGGGGGCCAAAAAAGGCCTCAAACCAGCCAAAAATCAGCTGTGAGGCACAGGGCAGGTAAGGGGGTGGGTGGGTGGGGATTACACGTGCATGCGTAGGGGGCCTGGGGGGGCATGCATTGCCTTCTGGGTGCTGGCACGCGAGTGCAAGCATGCAAGCACAAGCACAAGCACAATTTTTGGCACAGGAGCCCAAAACGGTTAGCCACCACTGGACTAGAAGATCTCCAAGGAGGTCCTTTCTAACCCTATTATTTTATGTTCTATGTTTTTCTTCTGCTGCTTAGCCTTGAAAATATGGGATCAAATTTCAGACAGAAGGAAATGGATGACAAATTCAGGATGCCTACTATGTGTGTATCTTCTTGGCATTACGATAAACTTTACAATAAACATTACGATAAATTACGATAAACTCACCTCAAGGTATCCCACAATGCAATACTTCTGAGGGCCAAACAATCCACATGTAGATGAAGCTGTCAACTGTTGGCTGCGTCCCACAAGCAGATCTCCGACTGATGGGTGACAAGCTCCCAGCTGACAGCTATTCTGACTGCTCAGAATGTCTGGGAGTGATACTGAACACAAAATAAAGAGGAAACATGGCATCAACTGTCCAGCTGGCAAATCCAAAAAAAAAAGAAAGAAAGAAACTCCAGGGACATTATTTTTTCTACCAAGGGTATAACCAGCGGTGGGATTCCAAATTTTTTCCCACCAGTTCTATGAGAGAAGCATGCGCAACATTAATGTCAGAGTATAATCATGAACTGGAATAGAGCATGGTAACAAGGTCTGCCAATGAATAGGCATAGCAACTGAGTCAGCCAATGAGGACTGTTTGGAAACTGAAACTGAAGAAGTAGCCTAGGCGTGGCTCTATATTAAGCTCTGAAGCTATGTTAAGCTCTGAGTCTGTCTATTGAAAATGAAACTGCTTCTCTCCTCTGCTGTGTGTCTTGCTTGCTTGCTGAAAACTAGAGCTCTGCTCTGAACCTGCAACATGTCTGCTTCTGTTTGAGTTTGCTCCATGTTGGAGAAATTTACAACTGGTATTGTAAAATGTACTTTATATGTTTATAAAGAAGTTAAATGAAGCCTCAGCCACCTGTGTTTACTTTTCTGGTGCTGAATTTACGCTGCAATACTCTGAACAATTCAGAAACCAACCTCTGTCAGCACTGGTGAGGTGAGCTGTTTTTTTAGCTCAGCTGAGGTACAGCAATTCGCTCTGCCACGCGAATCAGCTGAGGTAAAAAACCAAGGAAATATAGGATAGGTTGGGGGGGTAGGTGGGTGGGGCCAGCCAGCTGTGATATTTGCCAGTTCTCTGAACTGGTTAAAATTTCCACTACCGGTTCGCCAGAACCAGTCCAAACCGGCTGAATACCACCTCTGAGTATAATTGAATAAACCGCATTGTTACAGGAGAAGCGAAACCAACTCTGGGATTTCCCGCACAAAAGCAAGCATAGTTAGTTCCTCCTTTTTCCTACAGGCCACCCATGGGCCACAACATCCACCAATCACACATATTCATTTTGTTATGGGGAACTGTCTAAAAATGCCAAAACATCTACTCGGTGTGTTCTTCGGATGCCAGCAATGTCCCACAGGTACCGATGGATGCTTGAACGCCATTCTCTCTCCCTTGCCTTCTATCCACCTCCCTCCTTGTTATTGTGAAGCTGCGAGTGAAGACAATGTGTAAGTAAAACCATGGATCAATTTTGACACACATTTTGTTGAATGACAGGCTTCTCTGAACAGATCAAGATATCTGGATGCTAACTCTCAAATCATCTGGGAATATCGAACATTGAAAATACTGGAAAATACTAAACAAGGGAAGACTGGCTACTTGACGAAAGTTTAAGTTGTCCAACCTTGCATTTTCCACAACATTATATATATTTTCCCTATTACTTATATCATCCCTGGCTTAAGAATGTCACTGCATGTTAAGTTTCAACCTGTTGTAGTCCACCGGCAGCCTGTGGAGATGGCAGCAGAATCGGACAGTGGGGAGGAACATGGGACAGTCCAGGAGTCTGGGGAGGACTCGGATGCGGGTCCTGCATCCGATACAGAGATGGGGCCAGGACCATCTGGGAGTTGTGTGCTGACTCCGGAGCCTCCAGAATCTGGCAGCAGTGAGGCAGAGGAACAAGGGGAGCCTGTTCCCAGTGTGTATGTGCACAGAGCTGCCAGAATGCAAGAGCAGCTGAGACAAAAGGGGCGACTTGGGAGTAAGGCTTGGAGGTGATTGCCCCTCCCATAAGATATAGAGGAAGTGCAAAGGGACAGGAACATTTGCAGTAAGCAACGTTGTTTGCTTTGTTCGGATTAAACCCTGAAGCTCTGTGTGGACTTTGTACTCCATTTGGCTTTTTACAGTTAATTTGGCACTCTAGTTGTTGGCAACAATTCAAAGGAGATAAAGGTGAGTGCTTATCTCGAGAGACTGGGACTCATTACCGGGTGGGAATGCACATAATTCCCAGTGTTGAAATAAAAAGAGAGTTGTTTGGACTACGTGTGTGCTTAATTATGGTCTCAGGGAGTGTTGGTCAGAACATAACCTAGCCAAGCAGGGAACACAAGGTGGGAGAGATGACAATGGAGACACCCCCAAGGAGCTTTTCCAAAAGACAACTGGACTTCCTTTGTTTTTGCTTGACGACGTTTCAAACCAGGAAAGGAAAGAGAAGGAAAAGTGCTTCTCCGTCACCACACCTGTCAAGGACCAGAATTCCCCAGTCACCTAAGATTCCAATGTGGGTGATCCTGCTTGTCTTTAGAAGTCTCCTAAAATTTGGTCTTCCCACCCTGGACCTATTTTGGGAAGTGTTCAGCTCATCTTGATTGTCTTTGGCATATTTTTCCCTTTTTCGTTGTGTCTTGGTTTTTAATCTTTCTGATCTTAGCCTCAAATCCCATTATATTTTATTTCTTTAAAAGATTTTACAGTTGCCTATCTTCTTCTCTTCCTCCTTCTCCACCTCCTCCTCCTTGAAAAAAAAGAAGAAGAGGAGGAGGGGGGGAGAAGAACAGGAAAAAGAAGAGCAGGAGCAGGAGGAAGAGGATGAGGATCAGAAGGAGAGGATGAAGAAGAACAGGAAGAAGAGGAGGAGGACCAGGAGGAGGAGGAGAAGGAAGAGGAGGAAGATGAGAAGGAGGAGATGAAGAAGAAAAACAGGAAGAAGCTGGAGGAGGAGGCGAAGGAGGAGGAGGAAGAGGAGGAGAAGGAGGAGACAAAGAAGAACAGGAAGAAGAAGGAGGAGTAGGGAGAGGAGGAGAAGGAGAAGATGAAGAGGAACAACAGGAAGAGGATGAAAATGAGAAGGAGGAGATGAAGAAGAACAACAGGAAGAAGGAGGAGATG